CTTCTATACTTTTTAGCACGTAGCTATTTATTATTAGCATTATTCTTCCGACGTCTGATTTCCTTTCAATTATAGGAAGTGCGTTTTTCTAAGGTACATAAACTTTTGGGATTGACTGTATAGCCGATACATCCTCAAGTGTTGCTTCTTGCACCGCTTTTCGTGTCATTTGTTATATTTTCTACGTATTCAATTTTTCTATAAATGCATAAAACCCGTGTCCCATCGGTGATACCCGTATTCGCGGCTCTTTCTTATCCACGAAGGGAAACACGGCGCCGAGGCGAGTGGTCGAGCATCAGGGAAAATCGATAATGGAATTGCCTATTGCACGCTAGAACTGTCAGAAAGAAATACAATTTAGCGTGGCACACGCTACCAGCAGGGCCACTGTTCGTGCCGGTACGCCGTGCACCGTTGAATCAACGTGATCTATCATGATACCGAGAGGAATAATTACATGCCGCTCTGTGGCCACGCGGAGCTCTCTGCATCGAATAATAAGTACGCGATTGCGTACGTGCAAACTGAAAATCCAAAATGATTTCGACCGGATCAAAGTCGATCTACATAGAACGACGTCACCCCCGGTCGAACGAGTAATTCGATGCCAGACGGGGCAGTTCGCCGTTGGGGGCAATGCCGTAGCTGGATAGAATCGAGAACTTCAATTGTAGGTTGGTAGAAGCTTCGAAGGATGTCGAGGAAGCCAAAAGATGTCTTCCTTGAACTCATCGTCCAAACGGAATGCGTCAACTTCCGTGCTCCAGTCACTTTCAGACAGTTGGACGACGTTTCTCGTGTAAGCAGAGACTTCGGGGAGCCCTCTAGCAAAATTCTTTACATTCTTTATTAAGGAATCTCTTCGTTGTTATTCGTGAACCTTTCATCGTTCTGAAAATTCTCGTACTATTTCTCTTATTAGGTCAACGTAGATCGTTCATTTTTATAAATTAAAATGTTTATCCTAATCAGTTTGGAAACGTCATATGAAGATATCATGTAGCATCGAACGACTGCAATATGTATTCACTTTTGATGTTTCATAAAGGTTTATACATCAGATGAAGCATTTATAGTCTGTTTAAGATCGGCGATCTAGTTATAGATTCTACAAGGCTTATGGCTTGTACCAAGAGAACGAAGAAGTTCGTAAAGAGATAAACTTCTACTCCTAAACACTAGTCCTTCGTCTAAAAATATCAGCACAAAATCGATTCAATACAAATCCTATTACGGTGTTATGTTCTACTTTTTCGTTTGAAAATAGTATTAGTAGATGAACCCTGTATGCGGTTTAGTGAGTAGAGATTCTATCTTGAGAAAAATGCGTGCACCCTGGTAGCCCCGATTCGTGGCCGCATGCCACGACGATCTCGCGATTAATTCCTTCATTTCGTGCCTGTAATACCCGGGACAGGCCAGGCGGTAGCGGCGGGGTTTATACCGGTGAACTTTATTGCTCCCTCCTTGCGGTGACTTTATTGATGCGCGTTTCGTCCCGCTTCTAAACCGATATTTTTATCAATTTTCGACGTCTCCTCTTGATAGAGCGGAAGCTCTGAAGGAGGACAGAGGTACCCGCAAGATGAATCGTCTCCTATCGGCAGCTTTATTGCGTTACACATCGTTGACACCGATCCGTGTCGCATACCGTTTGTATTTTATCACCGTTGCGTATCCTAATGAAGCTTCGTCCATGCGTCACATAATAAATCATAAACACATAACGTGAATCGGTCCAATAAAATTGTACTTAAAATCAATCAAAATTCTTTGATACTTCTGAATTTAAGTAAATCGTAATTCATTCCTGCAAGGTTTATTATTTTAATAATTAATCCTACAACAATGATACGATGTGTTAGATCAATTTATAAATAATCACGTTAGACTCTTATCGAAAGAGAGACGCTGGTGTTCAAACGGAAATAATAATCGACAGTTCAGACGGTAGCATTAGAACGTATTAGTTAGACGGATAATTGGCCGGAGGTCGTAATCTCTGATGAAACCTGTCGTTTAATCAATCCATTAACGCAGAGACGATACAATCTCCTGACTCGTCCAACACGAATCGAATTGATCGTTCAAGTAAACTAGCCAGCGTGTGTTCGATACGTGTTTGCCCATGTAACGCGTTTCAATTCAATTTGCAGCTACGTGTCTCTCGTTGATTACGCGCAATGATTATTTCCAATTTGACGTAGGAATATTTGGCAACGCGATCGCGAGCAGACGAGAGCCAAGCGGACACAGGAACTACGGAGAATAGAGCACGTTGAAACGGGAAGAGGAGAAAACAGGAAGAAGAGGCACGAGGAAAGGAAGATAGAGGGTCTGGCCGGTCGGTGCTGCGATGAACAGACGAGTATCGTCGAGAGTCATAACGTGGTTCGCGTGACACAGGCCGTTTCTCACAGTACGTTTCTCGTCCATCGTAAACGGACGGAGGCACCAGGGCCTAGATAAACGCCCGCTACTACTACACATCCTCCTCCCGCTTCCATTCTCTTCTACCCGGACGACGAGGTATTTAATCCTTAACGACGAGGACACGCGTACCAGGGAGGCACGATAGTATGACGGTGATGCTGCTGCAACGTTCAGTCACCCTGCAGTCGACGCACAGCCAAAAAACAGCGAACAAGGACTGCAGCGCGAAGCCGCCCTTCCTATTCCTGCTCGACGACAGTCAGGAGCATCGTCTGTCCACTGAGACCACTATCACGACGACGACCAACAACAACAACAACAACAACAACCTCAACAACAATAATAACAACAACAACAACAACAACAACAATAATAATAATAATAATAACAATAATAATACGATCAAAGAAGCCAACAGAAGAGACAGCAATCGGTCGTACGTCGCCGACGACACGGCGGCGTCGGTGACGTCCCAGAGACGCGCCGACTGTGGCCAGGACGTCGCGATGCGATATTACCGGCTCTGGATCTACACCTGTAACTTGGTGTTACTCGGCAGCGCGCTCGGCTTCGCCGCCGCGGTCTCCCGCACGCTTCTCTTCACCGGCGATCCACGTCGGTACGTGGTACCCGGAGTGCCACGCGCCTTCGACCCGACGGCCCTTTACGCTTACTTGGCCCTCGCCACGCAGCTCGGCCTCGTTCAACTGCTGGGCTGCATCGCCGCGAGGAGATTGAGCGCGAGACTCCTGAACGCCTACTGGGTACTCCTGCTGGCGCTACTCTTCGGCGACGCCGTCATCGGGGTCGCCTGGGTCTTCCGGTTCGAGAGGATGCGCGCCGAGCTCAGGCCCACACTCAGGCAACGGTTGCAGGTCAGTTGCTCTTTCTTTTTATGTGATCATCCTCGAGAAATTATCCAAAATTATCGTGTCTGTTTTAAAAGACGTGTCCTAGATAATCATTTCTTTTATCGTTTAAACATTCAAGTGTTCATTCAGTATTTAATATTCTAAATATAGTCATTTCTTAACGATCCTCTATGCATTCCTGTCTCTCTTATCACACAGCAGATTGTAATTGTGAACCAACGAAATCAGTGCTAAGATCAAATCTCTAAATACCAGTGCCGTTCTTCTCATCGATCGATGCATCCTCGCATTCCTTTTAAATAAGTGCTAGCAGTGTCGCAGATTGAGAAAGTATTAGCTCAGAAGTTATGAACTTTGTCGAACGCCTATAGTATACTCGAAAACTGTAGAAGACGAGGTAGACGTCAAAAGTTAAAAGGTCTTTCCGTCGCGGAAACTTTTTTTGTCCTCGCGAATCAGATTCCAAGCTTCTACGAAAAGGGACTCCCCATCCTCTCTGTAGGTCGGAATTGTTGCTCGGATCGATCGTGGACGCACCTCTAGCGAATTTTATTCGGCCATTTCCACAGCTGTAACTCCTCGAGAACGAGACACTCCGGATCGTAACACGCGTCGCTTTATCGTCTCGTTTGCCGTCCAGATTGTTGGTCGGGAATTTGCTCGGGGTCACGAGATGAAGATAACGATTCTCTGCCCTTCTTATTTTTCTTTACGTCCAGCTCACCACGCGACCGACACATGCGTCTTCCTTCGAAGCGAAAAATCCCGAAGACGGTAAATCGCGCAGTTTTATACTTCTATAAACGAGAACGTCGTTATACGCGCCTCCCGTCGATGCCACAGTTGTTAAGCGAAGAATAAGTGGCTCGTTTTGGCAATGCGAGACTCGGGGCGGTCTCCTTACTTAAGGATAAATCTGTTCGCACACGAGTAGAGCCAAGCCGACCACTGCCCGTCTTCTTTGAAAGGAAAATCGTACTGAGAGAACTGTCGTGACTCGAAGATGATGCACGGCTGTCTATCTTCCCTAGTTCTCCGTTCGTTGGAATAATTTAAATCGTTTCCTCGATCAAACTTTTGCCAACGAAGTTAGAGACTCTTCGACTTGTACACCGGACCAGCGGTAATAATTTTCATCGAGCGAACTTAGAAGCGCGTTCAGGGCACGAGAAAAACGAGAATCGGTTTCCGTTGCCCGGATGAGCTCCGGAGAATTGCGGAGGCGTGGCTGCTCTTATCACCTCTAGGTAACGTTCAATGGAGTATCGATCAGTAAAAAAGGACGGGTCCTCGGGTGCCGGGATCGAGTCCAAACGCTCTCGGCGTTGGCAGAAAAATTGTGAATCGTAAACAGTCCTCCTCTGAAATACGATATCATCCCCTTAGCAGCGTATCTCAAAATCTGTTATACCTGTCTGTAAGATTTTCTTCTGACGTCGCTTATTATCGTGAACCACTGAGACGTTACGGTACATACGTAAGTCGTACAATAACGAACAGGTGCAACGATGACGTGTAACGTACCATAAAACGTTGGTGTCAGTGTTGGGAATCTGAATTTACTGTGACCGGTCAGCAGGTCTCCGCGGAGGCGTGTCGACATCGAATGCTATTCCCGGCATCGTTTAATCGATAAACATAAAAAATATACGGAGCCAAAAAATCGATTTAATCTCGACCGTAAGAGGAATAGGATATAAGTCTACGGTTAGACGAATTACGGCTTGGCATAGAGTGTACGAGCGAGCGTAAAGGTGATCTAAAACGTCGCTAGTCGTATTTTCTTTCCCGTTTTTAATACCTGCGTGGTTTATCGAAGCGTTTTGGTCTCGTAATAAAATTCGAACGCGGCTCGCGGTCGCCCGACCGGGAGGAGGTGGGCCGTAATTTACGGCGCAGCGTGAATATTATTCATACCATACCCGGCGTACAGACCACGGGTTATTTATAAATGAGCATGCAGGTATTCACGTATTTCCTCGCGAATTCTGCGAGACTTTTTCTCCCTGCAAAACGTCGATACCCGAGCCTCGTTCGACAAAACTGCGATATTCGAAATTAATTTTAAATTAATTTCTCAATTAGCCACATATCTACAAGAGAAAGTGCTGGCAGCCTAGAAAGGAGATCGAGCTTGGAAACGACCAATGGAAACTCTTACCTCCGGTGAAATTATCGGTACAGAGGTTTGGAATAAAATTGGAGGAAGCAATGAACCTCGCCGCGCGGATAATCCGCGAAAGGTTTATATGAATAACTGAACGCTCTCGTCGAGATTCCCCAAGGAGGATAATGACTCGGAAAGCGTGAGCGTAGACTCGATCGATCCTCTCCAGAACTTTTACTTTCGACGAAGTACGCGACTCATTCGTCGCCGCTGAATTCTTAATCGCCGATTGAAAGTTTTAATCGCACCGCGTCGCGTCTGCCTATCGAGCCTGGGAGCGTTTAAATAGCTCCGGGAAACCTAAACAGTCTGAAATTTTGATCGCCGTCAACGTTGATGTATTACTACTGCAGAGAGCGCGTTATCAAAACTGTTCCACGCTCCATTTCTCTTCGCGGATTAATTTTACTATTTTATCGGATCATTCCGTGCCCTCGGAAATAATCTCCTTTTATACTCCCAATTGAAATATGCTATCGTAAAGAATACAGAAGTAAAGTAGGAATTAATCCATGAAGCTGCCTCTTCCAATGAAATTTTAATACTATATGAATATTTTCATAATTATCATTATTGTGGGAATGATATCATTTAGAAAATTTTTTCTGGTCCCATTATTTATAGACCTACAGTCATTCTTTAGGGTCACAGCTTCCATTGTGCTCCGGCTTATCCGAGCCGAATTAAAAAGTATCAGGAAGGACGTGACCTGATAGCTAGTGCTAATTAAGAGACAGTGAACTAGTTTACACAGTGGCGGGATGAAAAATCAGTGTCCTAGGGATTGGTAGCAATCCCGATATCACCCCCGTTTCTCGGCCCGTATCTGCAGTCATTATTCTTAGCCCCGTTCTTATCTAGGTCGATCGCATAATCGTCGGAAAATGTGCGTATCCTTGGACGCACGACCTGGATCTCCAGGACCAGTCGGCCTGTATCCTTCTTTCAGAGAAATCATCTGTTATAAAATGCTATTATCCACTTGTATCACACTCTGGTACCGTGTCACGTGTACAGCTGGTAACAATGAAACTGAGCCAGCTCTAGCTTGTATTAGTTTCCTCTAGGGCGACAGAATTCAAAACGAGTAATAAGTGTACATCTTATTTTTCAATGTTCGATCTGGCATCGACACTGTTAGACTTTAACACAAGTTTGACTCGTCAAAGATGTAGCAGACTAGCTGTACCATTACGAATGCACGACCATCAGTTATACGTAAATCGTATGATAAATCATGTATTAAATCGTACAAAAAATGACATAATAAATCATGGTACTATAAATCATATAAAAACTGATACAACGGATCATACGAAGAATGAATTATACAGCAAATGATAAATTGTTCCAATAATAAAACTGTATCTCAAATGAAAGAATAGAAATGTTTGTGTAATAATTTAAACGAGGACTGAGCATTCATGAATTTATTATTATTAAACTTATTGAATTAATGCTTTGTTGAATTTACTAAAATTGCAGTTCGTTTTCCTATGTATTAAGTCTGATCAGTAAGTTTTATTATCGTAATAATTGTTACTGACTCCTGGATCCTGTCTGTCTTACGATACATGATAAATTATTGATACGAAGACACGATACGAGTAGATGTGCATCTTAAAACGCGCCACGCTCAATGGATCCTCGACGATCTCAACGAGTCTGGTCTCAAAAACCAAGCCTGAACATTCTGGGCAATTAAAAGTGCTGATTTTCATTAAACTAAGTTCTGCGAAAATTTTATTTGAACGGCGGACGAATCCATCTAACAATCCTTAAATATCGGCTCGATATCGAAAGCGTACCGTTTAAAAATACGCGGAGCAGAGTTCGGTGCGTAAATTTAGCCGACGAACGTCGTGCATCTTGAATCGATAACGTTTCGAGTCAAGTCGAAAGCTTTCAGGTTCTACGACCGTGGTCGTTTGTTCTAAATATAAACCCGTGCGCCAGCCGCTCGCTCGAGCCGACTGTGTCTATCTTACGTGTCCGTACCCTCTTTGCTTTTCGACCGTAGATGGAGTATGGCAAAGACCTGCGATTCAGCGAGCAGTGGGACTGTCTGCAAAAGGAATTCAACTGCTGCGGGGTCACCGGACCCAGGGACCCGTTCGGCTCTCGATGGCCGCAGACCTGTTGCGGGCCCACCGGTAACGCGAGCGATACCTGCCAACAACCGTACGTGAGGGGCTGCGAGGAATCGTTGATGCGATGGCTGAGGAAAACCGCGGACCTACTCTTTGTCCTCGGCTTCTGCGTGATCGCGTTCGCCAAACTGTGTTTCCTGGGAATACTGCGTTACGAGATACGGGAGATGATACAGAAGATACGGCTATTACGAGAGCCGCCGCCGCCAGCTGCCACGCTCGCGCAGCCACCCTTCTCGCAGGTGATGCCGGAAACGACCAACAACGGGAGCATCGTGCGTCGACCGACCTTACCCAACGCAGTTACCCCCTCCGGTAAGTCTCATCATTTTTTAACGCTTCAAACCGAACAGACAAGAAAGCGAGCTAATAAAAACGTAGTAAAAAAAATCGAGTGTTTCAATGCTGCGTGCTTGTTATTCCTTGAAAGTTGAAAGATGTACATTCCGTACCAATTCGTCTGGAGTCATTTGAACGTCTCCCACGACCAGTGATAGTGCTTTTCTCTTTCAAAGATCAATTATCGCTTTCGCATTTCTATTACAGTAGAAAGAAATTAAATCATTATTTAAAATAAGATTTACTGATCTCGTTGAGAAGCTTTACAAACAGACTGCGGACTTCGTGTATCTGTACAATGCACGTAAATGTACAAAATTTTGTATAAAAATCCGCAGTCTACTGATAATTAAAGACGTTCGCCTCTTCTTTCGCTTGGCTCTCGTTTCCATCGACTGGTCGTGCAGTTAACCGGCTTCGCAGTCAATAACACTTATGGAGGTGTTTCGAAGAGGTCGGATCATCAGGGAGAACCTAACAGGAGTTAATTGGATGAGCCCGAAGTTGACTGAGCACGGTTCACCGTGTGCCACCCATCGAGCGACGAACGTTCGAAACGAAACGAGGACGCGCCGTGACGGCGGCGGCGTCGCCTCGACGGGAATCTTTTCACGAATCCCGTATCTACCCGTTCTATCTTTCACATACATATACCCATCTGGAAACTAAAAACGAACTTTCTGAATAGCGCGGCACGGAAGTTCGGAACCGCGCGCTACCCCCTCGCTGGAACGCGAACGATAGCAGCGAAGCAGACCGAGAGTAGTACACTGTTAACGAGATTTGTTAAGGATAAAAGTTTGCTCGGGCCGCGTGCACCCGGGAAAACTTGAAAAATTTAGATTGCACTGATTGTTACCCCGACCGACACGCGACTCCCGCGATGAAAAATATGTTTACGGGTTCCATCGTGTGCAGGATTCTCCGTTTCACAGTTGAAACACGCGATTTTTTTAACGCGAACTCGCAGACTGAAAAATAATATTACTCCTTGCAAGAAATCTTTCATGACACACAAAATTTTATGTAGTGTTTTATTAATGTAATATCTATATAGTAACTGTTAAAATTTCAATGTGGACCGATCTCTTCGACCGAATACAGTAGGAACAGGCGTACGAGAAGGGTCGGTAGGTTTGACGTTAAAAGAAACGAGAGATTGTTCGAAAGGAAAAATGGTTAAAAAATGAATAAGGATCACAGCAGCAAACGGGTTAACGAGTCAGAAGAACCGCGTAAGTGGGAACACGAGCTCGTTTCACCGGTATTGGATGCATAATTCCGCGTTGAACGTCCGATTCCGTGGTAGTCGTTTACCGAGAGTTGTACACCGTCACGTGTGCACTGAATCTGCACGTTCGGGATCGAACCAGAGGAACTAGGGCGTTGCGTGCTCGAGTATAATAAGTATTTAACTTAACGCCTGCTCGTAGCTTACTCGTAATTACACCAACGATAGAGCGAATTTTAATTCGAAGCCATCGTTCCGGTACAAAATTACGTCTCTCAGTAATAAAAAGTCTGCTATGGGACACTTCATCCCTGCCAGACTGTGCATCTATCTAAATATAAGAACACTTTCATCATTTTATAAAAAAAATATTCGATAAACGATTCGTAGATCAGAGAATTTGTGCAATTATTTCTATAGTTTCCTTCTAATGTACGAGAATGGCATACATGGAAGTATAAAGTATTTGTCGAGAATCGGGAAAGAACTTTGATACTTTTTTTTTAGTTATACCGGAGATTAGGGGGAGATTGAGAGTATTTTTCTTATGCGGATATTAGTCGTGAAGCCTTCAGAAACCTCGGGAGGTTCGTTCACGGTTGTCGGAGAGGAAGTACGAAGAACGTTTCTTTAGACTCTCCTTAGACTGTAGAGTCGATTCGAAACGCGTCAGCTGTTCTCGAAGGGTGATTTATCAGAATAAAATAGCAGCCTTGATAACGATTCCTTGTAAATAGGCTGCGGATTTTAGAAAAATGCGCAGAAAATGTGATGAATGAAATCCAATGTACCCAATATTAAAAGGATAATAAGAAGTATATGATAATTTCTAAAGGCTAAAAGAAATCTCGATCTAGATTTCATTTTTTAAATTGACATGACCAACGTTTAAAATCCAGCAGTCTAATTAGCAGGATTTGGTTCTTTAAAAGCAGAAGTTTGATTGTTCTTGCAAGCTTCCGGTGAAGAATAGCCCCCGAGCCGTTTTCCGCTCGACAATTACCATTTTTTCAGACCCTTGAAATGCGACCAGGCGAGGTCCTGTACGCGTGCACGCTGCATCATTGAAACACGTGCCGCTAAAAATAAGTACACATGCCTGGCTGTAATTGGTAGTCGATCAATTTTTAAATAGCGACCAGAAATAAGAGAGTTCAGCTAGAAGCTGTTACGTCGTTCGTATAAAAATTTTAGAAATTATACCTACGCACTAGCAATAAAATTGCAGAGCTTTAATGTTGACCAGAGTTCATTGTTCGTAGTCAAAAAGAAGAAGAGATTCGTTCACTTTTAACAACTTCCTATCGAATACTCTATTTCTCGAATTTATCTCCCTTAGAAGTCGAGTTTAAATCTTTATTCTCTTAACACTAGAACCACCTTCTTATACCGGGTCAAAATGACTTGTTTTTCAAATTAATAAGTCATAAGAAAAGACAGCAATTTCTACGATTTTATGAGTGAAGATTGAATAATAAACTGATAATAATAATAATAATTTAATAAAAATAATTTTCAAAATAATTACGCTTTTAACCTACGTTTCGTGAGGGTAAAAATGACTCATCCCGGTATATGCCTCGGTATGTTGAAAATGAATAATGATTATAAGGAATGCCAGGCAACTCATTTTGACCCTCCCTGGTAGATCTAGTGTTAATATCTCTCTCGCTTTTTATGTATCAGCGACTGCATCGATTTGAAAAGTTACGATTTTAATTCTACTATCTGCGGATCTACATGGACGCTTCGAGTCAAGCTCGATCCTCTGATCGATAGAACCGCGCATAGAACTGTGATAGCACGCGACGGACATCAATTTAATTCTAACATTAAAAAACTGCTGGATCTCACCTGAACCGGTAGTACGGCGCAAAGGTCAAAGGTCTTGGCAACCTTGTTTGTCCGCATATTATCGCAGTCGGTGCCGGCTAAGCAAAGTAGGAAAGTAAGCATGATAACTGTTTTCCTCGTCCTGTTAAAAGGTTGCGAGTCAGTGAATTATAAAATCGTATATTCGATTCAGAAAAAAGAAATGTCATAACGATTTTAATGGGAACGTCGTTTCGTGTCAATCGGTTGAACAAAAAATGCATTTCAGATAAAGATCTCCCGTGGCATCTAAAGAACATGCATTAAGTCCTGCACGTTCTATTTTTGTACAAATGCGTAACGCCTCAATAACAATTTTTCTACACGAGGAGAGGAAATAATGCAGGAGACCCATGTATAGCCTACGAGAATGTTGTAGTGTGAAATGAATAAAAGAAAATCGATTCCAGGGAACGCGTCGTTGTTGATCCAAACGGATGAGTGCAACACCGGAAGGCATCCCCTGTTGGCGAATAACTTGCAGGACGGCGGCGCGGATAGCGACACGAATAGCCATTGCGCGCTGATCCTCGAGGAGACGACGCCGACCTCGGCAAACCACAACTGCGGCAACCGGGAGAAGAGCAACGGGAACAACAACTACGAAATGCGGGAGTTTAATAGAAGATTGTGGCTGTCGAACGGCGGCAGCCCGGGCACGGGTATAACAGCCGGTGGTCAGAGCAGGCGCACCTGACTATGGAAGTGGTGGCGAAACACGTCGAACCGTCTCCTCTACAGGAGCAATCGGTCCGCCGAGATCACCGTGTATAAGTAAGCCTATCTGTATTCGTGCAGACTCCCAAGGTGCATATCTACTTGTATCGCGTCCTCGTATCACCGCTGCGTATCGTCGTCCCATACGTGCTATAAGTCTTATGCACCGAGGAGATACTCTTAAAGAGTGGCAGCGTCTGTATAATCGTTGGGACGGCGAATGGGGCACAGTGGGGCTCAAACACAATTGGTAACATTTGTAAAATAACAAAACGTAAAGAACGTTGATACGCATCGGTGGAATGATACGAGGATACGATACGAGTGGACACGTAACTTAAAAAAGTTGATTCGCATCGACCGTACCGTTTTGGTCTCATCGAACCTCTATTTTCAGTGAACCTTTCTCCCAGTCAGCCTCAATACGACGAAATAATTGAATTAGAGCGTGACAGTTTGGCAATCTGAATTAGACTCAAATTTCTGGTGTATTCTTAGAAGCGAACGGGGTTAACTGATAAACTGATAATTTTCACAGATAGGAAAGGGTAATCGACCTGTACTAAGATTCTCTTGAGCCGACAAGATCGTGCTGTTAGTAGCGTTTAAACCGACACGCGAACGAGCATTTATGGTAACGCGAAGATAGATGCTTAATTCATTAAAAACGTGCAGATACCTCAAACGATTTTACTATTTCGCGTTTCTTTGATACATGGACAATTACAAAAAAAAAGTAGACAAAAATCGGGTCGAATCCGAGATTATTAATCGTGATCGAATGACCAAATGAAAATATACAGTACTAAGTGTATGTTCGTTTTCTTAAAGGATAGATCCGCAGACCGGAGCTAAGGTTTCTAAAGATTCTACTGACCTCACGAGCACACCAGCCCACAATAAGCGAATTACGTTCAAAGTCTTGCGCGTCGCCAGGAAAATGTATCGCTGAATCGTCGTTCCGTCAGATTAGAGCCCCGCGAATGCAACCATTTCAACCCGGACTAGACTACATAGACCGTAGGGTGTACCTTGTCGGTGTCTTAAAGTTTCGTTCAGTATCGACTCAGAGTCGAGTGACCGTTTTGGCGATTGTGCACGACGATTCTAACGATGCGCGTTCCCCGCGACGTGAAAATTCCGAATCGCTGACGAGCAGGAAAATTCCGTTCGCACGACGACACGTACAACGACCGGAGAGAGATCGAGGCGAGCGACTCGCAAGGAGGAACGGACAGCGAAATATAAAATTGAAAAAAAAAAAAATACATGAAAACGAAAAAAAAAACGATGAGAGGAGGAAGGGGTCGAAGCTGCACAAAAGGGAAGAGGAAGGCCCTGTGATCGGAACACCTTCTTCCGGCGTCCTTTCGAATTCTCTTTCTACACGTCTTTCCGTCCTCGCACGGTCGGCGAACAAAAAAATGAAAAAATACAGATGAAACGATACAAAAAAAATATGATCGATCATACTTTTGTAGGTTTATTTTTAGCGGTAAGTTTTCCTATATGAAACTGTATCTCTCTTTGAATCAAGACGAACCAAAGAGCGTTTAGGACTCGTTGTTATACTGATTTTTACCACGCGAATCACGCGGCCAGTATGTCACAATGTAAGATGTAACTATCGTCGCCGTTGTAACGAGGATCACACCACCTTTTCGTTGATAAATATTTAATTATTACGTTTCCGTTGGATCGTCGACGCGCGAATTTAATTAAACCAATGGCTGCGATACTTCTCTTCCTATGCAAATGCACACGTGAAAGCTTATTGAAATCGCTCGGACGTTTGTTATTGCGTTTTAAACACGTTGACCGCAAATAAATCTGTTTAGCACAGAACGACTGAGTGGCTGAGAAATGATAATAATTGCTCACGGCCACACGGTGTGGTAAACATATTTCTTTTGCTCGCTTCACCTCGATTACTAGACTACGTTCCATCTTTCCTTTGTGTCAATTCTCACAAGGCCTTGTTTTTCTCGGGAAAGGAACAACCGCGGTGCGACACGCGATAGTTACAGGCAACAAAATTGTGGGATACTGCCAAACGGATTCTCCCAATAGCGAAAATACGACTATAAAAAGGAACAAAAAAAAAGAAGAAAAATCTGTCTTTTCGACGAGCTATACATTACGATTAGCGAAGGTGAAACTAAACAGCGCATTGGAACAAGAAGACATATAAAATATAAATAGTATATATATATGAATTATATATATACACAGCAACAGACACACAAAGTCACCGCATAAGAATAACGACTATAAATTCCTAGTTCTTTTTATATAAAGCGATACATACATACATGCATACATGCAGCGCGACAGTAGTCTGTATTAATTTGTGCAGCAAGTCGTATGAATACATACATACGATACTCAAATTGGCTTCCTAGCTAGGATTAATCGAATCTTAGGGATTATATACGTTTACGAATGCAAAGATAATGGATATACGTATTAGTAGTCTGTACATAGCGGTGTATGGTAGTCAAATATTAAGCGTCGATCGTCTGTTTAAGAAAAAGCCAAAATCCATAGCACACGGTTCAACTTTTACACACTGGGACAACGTTACTTGATTTGTTTTCTTTAGAGGAATGTAAAATAAAAATTAGGATGGTGCGTGCAACGCACACTTGTTAGACAAGTCAGATTTGATGTTTTGGTCTCTCTCTCATAATTAAATATCAGTCTGGACAACAGGGTATTCTACTTTAGGGCATCGTACGCGCAGTAGATCGTTACCAAACGAATCATTGACACAAGACACGTTCATTAACGCGTATTGTTAACCAGATCCGAATGCGTATGTTTCTTTCGTCTCGTGTAATGAACAACTTCCGAATATCGAGGAAGAACGAAATAGTCGCAATTGAAATAGATCGAGGGTTCTTTCTTAACCAGGCCATCGAGTTATCGTTGAATGTACTAAGCTAACATAATAATATGAAAGCTTACACCTCGCAGACATACAGCCTCTGCCACTAAATGTATATAAGGATGTACACGTATTCTATATGTAAAACGTACGACAGATAGCATTAATTAATTCCCAAAACGATTATTTAGATGTTATTACGACCCGACCAGGAGTGGAAACCTACGCGTTAACTTCGATTAGAGTAAGCTTTTAAACTTCTGGTTCGAGACGACACGTACTGTTACTTCACATCTTGATTCATTTACTCGGTGCGTTCGATTTCTCATCTTGTACTCGTCAAACGGACAAAGTATCCCTTTTGCGTTCTATCGAAATAACAAATAGTGATGCCGTAACGAGGACAGCTTTAATAAAACACGTTCATTATCTGTAGTTATTTGTAACTGATCGATATTTAAATGTAACATATATATGGAAACGAATGGGAGAGAGAGGGAGCTTTGAATAGTGCCTGCTTAAGAAACCCAATTTACTGTATATGTAAATGGTTAGATACGGTATGTACGTTATTTCGTACACGGTAAACAAAATAGAATTACCGTAGCCAAGTATGGGAAAAAGTGTAAACTAGAAGTTGAAATGCGTTCTTCACTTTGGTCATGCACAACGAAAAACGCTTGTATTCAGTTCTGCTTTAGAACAATTTCCCCACGAGCATTGCCCTGATCAAAATCTTGAGAAGATTCACCTACCAAAGTTCCAAGGAACATTTTCCTTCGTAAATCGTACCTATTTCACGCTTTTCGTTTCGACGTGCAATACCGCGATGGTTCTCCGAACATGTTTCGATCATGCTTTTTGATTTTTATACACCACTCTTCCCCATACTGTACTGTGTACCATGAGTTCGTGTTATTCGATATTCTTAAATGTACATAAAACCTATGTGGTCGTAATTGTATGTAAATACTGTTAAACGTTCTATAACTTCTCTGAAGTACGAATACAAGGAAGATTGGTTATTTAGTATAATTCTGACTAAAGGCTTCACTTACTTTTATCTCAGAATCTTTCACTTGCAGAACGGTGTCCATTATAGCACCACCGATTACCACCTACAATGTCAACGTGTCAGCCGGTCAAACAAAACGTTTACTATATACGTTTTAAGAATATATAGGGCGGTTACCAGCTCGGAAACACCTTATATCAGTATTCTGATTTTGCTTACTGGGCTTCGTTCCACATGAAAAACGCACTGAGAAGAATTGGTACCGTGAAAGCTTTCAGAACTCCTCTCAGCTATGTTCACCGAAATCTCTGCTGCCATGCTTGCATTGTTTTCGATCAGAGCTATGTCTGTTGAAAGATAGAAGCTGTATAGAGAAACGCAAAATTTCGTTTTCTACTTTGTGTCTTTTCCGTAAATAATTTATTTGCTTACTGGCTCGAAGAGATTCGCCACGAGTGATCTGGTTTAATTCTTCCAACAGAAACGGCGTTACATTCTTTCCACTTATGTTTCTACACTTTGCAATCTCTAAAGCGTTGCATATAGCTGACTCCATTTCTTTAGGATTCAATGCATATTCTTCAGGAATAGGCACAGCAAACAGTATTCCTGTTCGGAGGCCTAATTCCATTTGTGCTTTTAAAATCTTTGCTGCCTCTTGCGCATCCGACACTCTGTGCGGCACTTCCGTTCGTTGAAACGTTTCAGTACAATAAAATGCAGGGAAACGATTCGTTTCGCCGATCTTTATAACAGGAACTCCTTGAGTTTCCTGAACAAGAAAAAAGTTAATTATACAATAATGAAAACTCTACTGTATGGACTTCCTTTTCAATGTAAGATAGTACACTAACTAGATACTCTAATGTTTTTTCAATGTCTAATATAGACTTAATACCAGAGCAGACAACGGCTACAGGAGTACGTCCAAGTTCTATTAAATCTGTGCTAATGTCGAAAGTTGATTCTGCTCCACGGTGGACACCACCGATACCTCCTGTTGCCATTATAGGCAAGCCTGCTAAATTCGCTATCAACATCGTTGCACTAACAGTTGTACCTCCATTCAGCTTCTTAGCAATGACCGTTGATACATCTCTGTGAGAACACTTAATAGTGCCTCCAGAAGATGATTTAGCTAATATCTGCAGCTGTTCTTCCATCAAACCCACGTACATCTGCCCATTTACAATTCCTATTGTCGCAGGTACAGCACCCTGAGATAATACAAATGTATAATCCAATTCTATTCTACTGTCTTTAACAGTTTAAGAATAATTGTACCTTCTTCCTGACAGCTTCTTCAACTTTGATTGCTGTCTCTAAATTGTCTGGATAAGGCATTCCATGTGTAATAATCGTGGATTCTAAGGCCACAATTGGCAATCCGTTCTTCTTTGCAATTTCTACATCTCTACCATAAATGAAAGGCTTGCACTTATTGCTTGCTCGACGGTTAGTCGAATTAATCCTTTTCACTGTGTCAAGGAGGCTTCGAAAATTCACTCGCTGCATCTTCATACTTCTTTTTTAGACGGTGTAGTTACTGAGGAACATCCGGCAACAGTTTATTGTTTAACGCCTGTAACGGTAAGTCCGCGACAAAAGACGATCAGTGATCAGAAAATGATCCATAGGTTATTGAACGTTTCAGGGATTCGTTTGACAGATGATCGTAAAGAAAGATCAGGTGTACATCCATGCGAATAATCCATGATTATATAATCGTAATCTTTTACGATAATCAACCGAGAATTATATTTTAGTTCCCGACATTTTTTATATTATCGCTTCGCTCGATTTATCGATTTTTACACGATATCGAAAAATCAATGACCAAGCTTCGAATCATCTTTATATTATGCTAATCTCAATTCTGTCTCAATTTTAATTATCATAAACTCAAACTACTTATTTTAACTCTTATCAAATATTGAATTTTCGACGTACTTGCATTTATCATTTTGTATAATAAAACATTGAAAGATATCATCAATAGCTCACAATAAGATATAAAAATTTTCATCTAACAATTTTAATTGAGGATCTTTATACCACATAATGGCAAGTATAAGTAAAAAAGTAGTAAAGTCATTCTATTGTATACGTAATAAAGTGATATGATTATTATTCTGAATCCGGAATAGCAAGTACGTAAAAGAAGAGCTAATCAAATATGAAACGTGCAAAGTGCGTTCTCGTTTTATACCAAGCAAGCATTATGAGCAATCTTACGCTAAAGTCTAAACGTATCGAACTCTGAACTATCAGGAACGTAGTCAGCTAAATATTTAATTTTTTTCAGTCTTATCTCGCTCCAAGCTTTACATTGATTAAAATCTTAATTTAAGAAACGGTTGAAAATCTTCTGATTTGTCTTGTTTAATAAATACTGTTCATGGATTTTCTATTAAACTTTCTAAAAAGAAAATGTAATAACTAGAGTACAAATTAATATTCATGATTCTGTGAAACTTACGTGTTTTGCTTCTTATACGCAATTCATAAGAGTTATCTACAAAGCTAGCAAACATGTCTGGAATGATTGAGAATTCATATACATGCGCTTATTCTGTATTGGCGCGTAAAGAATTACATTAACCTAGCATACTTCTACTTATTATTGCACCGTGTACAATTTAGACAAACAAATTTCAATCAATCCCCGGTGAATTCCCAAAAAAGACAAAATATTAAAAAGAGAAAACGGGATACGATGTTTCACTTCTCACTTACTACGCTCCTGTAGAAAGTGTATATGTAATCGCATACCGTTTTTTCATGTCGTTAGTTTCCATCAGTTTCGTTCAGGTTTCCACGGTTTCAACGTGGTACGGACGGGAAGTTATGAATTAAATAGTTCCAGTTTCGATAAACGAGAAATTAACAGTCACAAACATGAAATCGAAAAGCTCTAGTAACGTCGGACAGTTATATTTGAAAACTTACAATTTAACACAAGTTTTGGGGTAAGAATTATTCATATTTTAAAAAGTCAACTTGAAGTGAATGAAACATATATTATCTATGGAAAATGCCTCTATAGATATTGATAAAAGTCTATACCTATTTGCAGTTGGAGTTACATATTTTACAAGTTTCTAACAAATGATTTTCATTCTTCCTCGAATGCAGATCTTTGGAACAGTGTTAAGTGGCCTGTTATTATTTTTCAACATGCTGCAGCTTTAGAGGTAAACGTCCATTTGAACGAATTTGATAAGAAATAAAACTAACTTTCGTCACAGGTGATCCATGCAGCACTTGGCTTAGTTAAATCAGGTGTTTTAATTACATTTGTACAAGTATTAAGTCGTGTGGCAGTTGTAAGTGGTGTGATACTAGCGACTCCAGAGAAATATGCATCATCATCTATTGGCATACCATTGGCTATCTCAGCATGGTCAATAACAGAAATAATTAGATACTTCTTTTATTTCATGAGCTTGAATGGCAGCGTACCTTACTTCCTCACGTGGCTAAGGTATTAAGATTTAGTACAGGTTTAATGCTAACTGTTGAATGTTTTGTCTTATGTACTTTATTACAGATACACGTTATTTATTGCATTGTATCCAATCGGTGTTACTGGAGAACTTTTATGCACTTATCAAGCTGTGAGGTATGCGAGTGAGCACCCAGATGCCTTGAGCTACAGGCTTCCTAATTCATGGAATTTCATATTCAGCTATTATTTCATACTTGTGTTTCAAATGCTGTTATACATTCCCTGTGAGTTTCCAAATTACTGTTCTATCCATCGTACGTCCATTATACGATTACTATTCTCTTTTTACTTTACAGTCTTTCCACAACTGTACATGCACATGTTTGCCCAACGGCGCAAAATTTTGGGAAGTGATACGTCCAAGAAATCCCGTTAGCATTAATACAATTTTATGTGTATCATGTTAACATGTTGTTTGTATTTTTTACGAAGAAAATAAATGTTCTGGTACATAAAAAAACTTGCTTCACTAGTTATACATTATATATAAATCGAAGCAAAGCTCGCATTTCAATTTTTATAAAGTATTAAATCAATAAAATAATATATTTGAAAATTGAATTATGGCGGTCACGTGACCGTGCAGGCACGTACCGTTCGCTCGTGGCTACCGCGCGGAAATTCAAAATTACGACGCTCTCGACTGTCATTACTGAAAATTGAAGAAAGATTTCGAGTGACAGACAGCCTTATGGAATACCGTGTCATACAAGAAAGCATAGTGCTACGGTCGAAATTCGTCGATACTCTTACAACTTAAAAGACTGACTTATTACAACCAAAATTAATTTCAGAATGAAGATTTCAAATTATTTTTATTTACTGGATTAAAAATAATTATTAGAGGTAGCAATCACAATATTCAATGATAGGAGGCCTTGAACACGTAGCAAAAAGATATAATTCGAAATAGCGAGGCATTATTGCTTCTATTTAATATCATTCATTCAGTATTATTCAGTCAAGCGAATACGAGTTAGTTGCTCGATAGTCTTTTTAGGCATTCGGTACGTGCAAAGTGCATCGAGGACACGCGAATGTCATTATTCGAATGAATGAATTAACGGACAAAATTGTCTAAGATCCCGGTCGTGAATAAGATAAGTAAGCACGAGTTGAACGAGAAACATGTCAGAGCACAACAATGATACGGATAAAGGGGAAAAAGGTAACGTTTTCGAACTGTCGTTGGTCCAAGCTGTTACATTTTAATGCTTTTTTCATGCGAAATTTAAATATCAATTGTATCATATTAAATTCTCTGTTTTATTATGCTACTTTCTACAGATAAGAACTGCAAAAGACTTTAGCATGTCTATTTGCACCGACAAGGCATCAATCGCATTTAACCCAGAATATTGATTTAATAAATTGTATAATTAGAATTTCACTATGGTTTCCTTATGTTTTTTATTATTATGTGACGTAAAACGGTCTCATAATAAACGGGAGATGATAGCAGAGGTTAATGGTATAGTCGTCCATAAAGAAGTCTGAAACTTAATTAAATAAAATGGTTAAACGAATTACGGAGGTTAATTTATTGTTCAACACAGTTTGCTGTAATCTTGGAACATTCGGATTTACATATTGCGAGAATTAGGTAATTGCTTACTAACACGTGTTTTTAGTTATTTACGTCCGTTACATGACGATGTGTGTGCGTGTTCGAACCAGAATGTTTCGACGGGTCGCATTTTCTTTGATCAGTCGTCAACGGCAATTGCTTATCCAGCAAATTCGGCGAAAATCTATATTTCCGTACTTCTATTCGAGTCAGTACGACGAATTTGAATTTTACAATGTTTCTTTACTATTTCAAGGAGTTAATAGTGCAAAGTTAAAAGAGATGAAGTAGATGTGAATAAATTTAATTTACATTCATTAGACTCTGACAATGTAATATATTTTGCATTGATTTTTAATGTATACTGTTAACATTATTATTTACTTATTGTAGCAGAGAAATCAAATGAAGAAGCGACAAATAGTTCTTCCGAACAAGAGGAGGTAGAAGACTCTGATATGGAGAAGATTCGTAAATATTTAGCACAAAAGCTGAGACTAGTCGAGTCCTCTGATTACGATGAACAGTCCCAGCAGAAGGTTCTTCGTGAAGTTAGTATCGATGGAATAGTAGATTATATAAAACAGAATGAGAACTGTAAAATTGTTACTATGGCTGGAGCTGGTATTTCCACATGTGAGATTTTCTCAAGTATACTGTTACTTTTATTCAATGCATCATAAATCTGTCTTTTCAATATATTCTAGCTGCAGGAATTCCCGATTTTCGATCACCGTCGAGCGGTCTTTATCACAATTTAGAAAAATACAATCTTCCTCATCCCCAAGCTATTTTTGAATTGGACTTTTTTATGGAAAATCCAGAGCCATTTTTCACACTTGCGAAGGAATTGTTACCTGAAGGCTTCAAACCTACACCTTGTCACTATTTTATTCGCCTTTTATGGGAGAAGGGATTACTGTTGAGACATTACACACAGAATATCGATACGTTAGAAAGAATGGCCGGTTTACCCCCTGAAAAGTTGGTAGAAGCTCATGGCACATTTTATACTGGTCGCTGCCTCAAGTGCAGAGCACCATACATGCTTTCATGGATGAAAGGTAAGGCTTTTTTGCATTATATATATACATTTCTTAAATATTAAAATTACAAATATTGTAATTATGAATATGTCTTGAAGTGTCGATCTTTGTTTCTAGAGAAAATAATTGAAGGTCTTGTACCGAAATGTGAGGAGTGCAACGAGGGTGTAGTGAAACCCGACATAGTTTTCTTTGGAGAAATGTTGCCCGATCGTTTCCACTTCTTGGCTGATCGGGATTTCGCACAAGCGGATCTTTTAATAATCATGGGTTCGAGCTTGGTTGTTCAGCCTTTTGCATCCTTGGTCGACAGGTACGTATGAATTGTTAGATGCAATTGTCATTTAAAATCGTTGATTGAATCATTGAAATCTGATTCCGTTTGCAGAGTACGACCCACCTGTCCGCGTTTACTTATTAACAAAGAGAAAGTCGGTATGCAAGATCGCTTATCGCGACTTTTGGGACTACGGCATGGCTTAATTTTCGACACGCGAAATTCTCATGGGGGTCGCGATGTTGCCTGGCTAGGCGACTGTGATACTGGATGCCATTTATTGGCAGAGAAATTGGGCTGGGGTGTACGTTTCATTAATTTCTACGTTTCATCAACTTCTTGTGCTTCGCACATTAATAAAAATAGTTCTACTTATTTTCAGGAGGAGTTGAAGGATCTCGTTGAGAAAGAACACGAACGTTTAGATTCAGAAAGTGCCAGTAAGGATTAAATTTAACGATACTGTTTTATAATGCGAATTTAGCTTCCTAGTTATTTTATTTTCTAGACTCTTAATTTTGCTGCTGTTTGTTTATAAAGGAGGAACTATTTAGACAAATAAAATTCTGTTTCAAAATAATTGTAAAAATGTTAGCTGAGAATGTTAAAGATTGAACGTGACGAGGAGCGATACTTCTATCCGTGTCATCCATTTTTGTCTCCAACTCGATGGTAAAAGGTATAATTTTTGAATATGCAATTTTATAGGAATTACGTTTGATGATATAGTCATGACGTAAATATTCACGACGTATAAATAATTTATTCCTTAACATAGTATAAAACGATGTTATACAGGTAAATGTAATTTTTGGCAGTTGAACCGAGTGTTAAAATAAAACAGAGTCAAACGTATAATGGAATACGAGCATCATTTCATGTTAAAGGGCCTTACGATAACTTCTTGAGCTTCTTGTTGATGCAACTGTCCTTCGCCAACGGCAACCGCGGCCATGGTCTTGCGACCACTATATCTTAGCTGTAAGTAACCATTTCATTCCATACATATATTTGTCCCAAATATTATTTAATTTATGCACGTACCGGTCTACCACACAAATTCTCAAAACGGGGTTTGACAAAGCTCCACGCTCCCATATTTTGCGGTTCCTCTTGACTCCATATGAAAGCTGGAATCGATACTCTTGTTAAAATTCTGATGCATAATTTAACACGCTTTTTATACGTACTGTTAGCACGTTTGTATCTGTCGATTTCTTGCAAAAGATCTTGAACCGGGAAGGGGCACAAACTTTCGACTCGGATAATTGCAACGTTACTCTGTTCTGTAGTCTCTCTAAAATTGTCGAGAGCGTAATAGTGTTTCCCAGTTACGAAAATTATTTTAGTTACTTCAGACGCCTTCGCCTTTTCGTCTCCTATAACGCTTTTAAATGTTGTCTGCGGTCCCATATCCGCTAACGCCGAGGTCGCAGCGATATGGCGCAACAGTATTTTCGGTGCTACTATTATCAACGGTTTCCTAAAGTTCCTCACCATCTAAAACAACGTACGACACTTTCGCATTTGTAAAACCGAGTAAACGTATAATTAGCGAAACAGGGGTCCTACTTGTCTTCTCAATAAATGAAAATATTGTGCCGGTGTCGTTGGGTTGGTCACATGCATATTGACATTATCGCCGTCGGGTTTGTCTTCGTTGCTGTCGGTCATCTGCAGAAATCTTTCGAGCCTACAGGAACTATGTTCGGGACCTGTACCGTCGTAACCGTGCGGCAAAAGTATCGTTAAACCGCTGCTTAGCATCCACTTTGCTTCGCCGCTGGTTACGAACGTATCGATAACGATCTGTGCCCCGTTAAAAAAGTCTCCAAACTGTGCCTCCCATATCGTCAAAGTAGTTGGAACAGCTATACTCATACCGTACTCGTATCCTAAAACCGCTTCCTCCGCTAGAATACTATTAGCCAGCTCTAACTTCCCTGTTTGCCCCTCGATCATAGAGTTCAACGAAATATGGATATCTAGAATAGTATGACTCTTACTAAGTTTTAATTAAACTTGCGACATATTTCCGATTACCTCCTGTGGATTGATCCACGAGCATTGCATGTCTGTGGGAGAACGTTCCACGGCCTACGTCCTGTCCACTTATCCTGACATTATATCCTTGATACAACAAGGTTCCGATTGCCAGAGCTTCGGCAGTAGCCCAATCCAAGTGTTCACCGCTGGCTAATTTTTCCAATCGCGGTTGAATATGACTCTTTTTTAATTTCGGGTGTATTATCTGTCCCACGATGAAATGACGGGTTTAATAATAATAACGGGTTTAATAGTAATAATGACATTTCATACGCTCTGCATGTGTTCTCACCAAGTCATCCTCGATGTGGACGCTCTTGTCGGCGATGAATCTCAATAAGCTTAAATTAACTCCCGTGTCCCACTGCGTTATACAAGCGTCAGCTTGTTTTATGCCGCTCCATATGCCGGCGAAATACGCAGGCTGCGGGACATACATATCTACTTTATTCAACGCTTTATTTAGCACGGCATGATAGCTCTCGACAATGTTCTTCGCCTTCGCCGTTGATAGGACGTTGCCCTTTGCGAGTTCGTCCACGTATCGATCGGGTATCGATCTAATTAGGATATACAATTATTTGTATATGAATGTAAAGGATAAATTTGATGATACTCACGGGCGATTTTGTATGATTTGATAAATGACCGGATTCGTGAACACAGGATCGTCCAGCTCATTGTGACCCCATCTCCTAAAGCAATTTAAATCCACGAACACGTCTTTCCGAAACTTTCTCTGATATCTGAAGGCTAATCTAGCTGCTCGCACGACCATCTACGATATCTTGCAATTAAAAACTTTATTTTACATGTACACGAGCGAAAGCTTGTGATTCTACAAATAGAATCATCATTAAACACCTCGGGATCGTCCCCGTTCACGTGTATCACCGGAGCGGAGATCATTTTCGCTAGGTCCGTGCAATACCGTGACGATCTGCCTCTGGAAGGTGGTGTCGTGAAACCTAACTGATTGTTGATTATCAGATGAATAGTTCCACCTATTTCGAAATGAGGAACCGCAGACAGTGCTAAGCATTCCTGATCGACACCCTGAGCAGCGTAAGCTGCGTCTCCGTGTACCTTAAATTAGAATTAGAACGTCGATTTCGACTGATGTCTCAAATTTCGTTTAATCGATTACAAGGTGACGCACTTGTATGTTTAACACTCTGTCGCTCCATTGAACGTTTTCATTCTCGTTATAAGCACCGTCCTTTACGACCTGCATCATCCCACGAGTCTTTCCCATGGAAACCGGGTTCACGGCTTCCAAATGCGAGGGATTTCGTAGCATCGTTACGTGAAGACGTTTTCGATCGATGTTCAGGTCAGTGGATGAAACCAAGTGCGTAACTACATCGCCAGTGGCTGTAACGTCGTCCGGGAACTCGGAGTATCCTCGTAGTTTTCGGAACAATTTTTCTGGAGGGAAATTCAGCATTCCCGTGAGAAAATTCAGACGACCTCGGTGCGGCATACAGAGTACGACGTACTCTAAATTATCTGTAATTTGATACAATGTTTAACGTGATCTCTGTGGTTACTGGAATTTCTTCAAATTTCATCTTTAATTACCATTAGTGCATAGTTTAAAAAATTCGTGGAAGAAGGCTGTCATACTTTCGGCACCCTCGCCGCTGTATCTTTTTAGACTCACGAACTTGATAGCCATGAACTGTTCGAAGGTCTGGCTCTTGAGCATTTCCATCGCGATAGCTACTCGCGTTTCATCTGTCAGTGGTTCCGCTAAACACTTCTCCGCGGTCTCCGCGAACCATTCTCTCTCCTCTTCGGTCTGTGTAGACATTAACAGAAATCAGGTACTTGTATACATCTTCTACAAAGAAATAAATGTCAATGTTCTTGCAGTTTCAATGAACGATCCATTCAGAACGTTCGTTCGTTACCTCCAGATAGCTAAACTCCAGTCCTATCGTGTCACTGTAAGTCTTGTCCAGAAATTTTAACGCTTCCTCCACGGTTCCTTCCTCTTTCCCCATTTCCAGAATTCCCTTGAAGGAAACTCGGTCGTTCAGATTTAAACCGTATCTTTCTGGGTTCAGTTCTGCCACTGATATCGGTCTTTTCGGCGAGATGGGATCTACGTTTGCTTGCTTGTGAGCCAGTTCTCTGTATGCAGTAACGAGCCTGTAGAAATTGCTATATTTCGAACGTGTTTCCAGGTACTCTTTCGGTACTGAAAATACAAAAATCTACATGATGCATAAAAAAACATCGCTTAATCGCACGCGTCGTATGTTGAAATTATATTTACGCTATCTTTAGTATGTATCTCGCGGTGGCGTAATAATAAAAATTTTCCATGTAGCGTTATCATTACTCTGGATTAGCGTTTTAAAATCTTATCGACGTCGCAATGTAAATTGCCATATGGAAACGATTACATCGACGACGAAGAGAATAAGTATGCAAATTGAATTTGACAAAATATTATGTCAGTTACTTTTGGAAAAACGAATTCAATTTCAAATCAACCGCGCATGCGCGGCACGGCTACGTGAGAATTTGCACTCTGATTCATGGCAGTCACCTGCTCCACTTCCAAGGAAGCGCGGGATCAAAGTGTCGTGTGATTGTTTACAATTTTGGTTAATAGTATTCCGGGTATTCCGTAAGTAAAGTGCAGTGATTCGTGCGAATCTTGATCGATTCTTAACCTCGGAGGAATGGGGAAGAAATCGTGGCGATATTTAGAAGGTAAGAACGATTTACTTCTTAAAAATGTTCGTTTAATCTACCTGTTCAATGATGCATCCATGAGATGCAATAGATGCTAGCGACGTTACGCACAACATGTTTATCTGCTTTCGAATGATGTACCATTAAAAGATTCGACTAATTTCTTATACCTTTTACGAATTACTTATTAAAAGTGAAATACCTTCGAAGGATCTCGGTGTCTTCGGTTTATAACCGTAAACCCCGTTATCGCCATGGTACAATCTTGATCGATAATTCACGGGTATGGAACGACTGATCCACTGGTAGCTTTGATCCCTACTTTTGTAAAACGTTCGCAAAATCGCGTGCATTCTTGTTTTCGTTACGAAATCTACTGACTAACTGATGTATCCCCACTGCAAAACCGTGGGATAGTTTATTGCTCCAACTCCCTCCTCTGACCCGACTTTATCTGTTTGCTCGAGATTGTCAGCATCACGGAATGCTACATACTCTTGTCAGTGAGAAGGTTGAATAAGTATTCACAGAATGACGTTTGTGTTCATAGATAAACAAGAAAATTTATTTATCCAACGCATAGAATACAAAATTAAATCTTGAAAAACACAATGTTGTCCCGAGGATAAAATCATACGATACTTCTATTTGTCTGGAGTATTATAAAATATGCATAGATTAATATCACGTAGATAATCTCTGAATTTGTTACGATTCGTACTTCGTCAGGAACGAATTCATTGGGATAGATTTATATTTCGGGGTACGCTGTTCCTATGAGGTCGTTTCCTCTGTACTTAAATTTATGCGTAACGATGTTGAACTTGGTTCCTCCGAGAGAGACCGGGCAATTAGCCTCCGGCCTCGCGTAGAAACATACGGTGTATAAGGCCATTTCTAATTCAGGCGAGGTACCGACGAACATCGTCGTCACCGGTTTGTCGTAACCGCCGTATTTCGTTCGTATTTTGACGATAGAAGCTTTCTGGAACGCAAAGTAAGACATGTGCATATGCAAGTATCATTCGAATAGTATGACTGAATTGACTTACGTCTCCAAGATCAACTTTCTTCAAGTATCCATTGTAATCTGCTTTTCCATTGCCCTCCTCTTTGCTATAGTAAATCCAATTATGCAGTCCGACTACTTCGGTGTTGGCATCCGTTTTCTTGAGCTCAGCCATGAATACGTGTTCGAATCCAGAGCTACCGATTTTTCCTTGCCCTCTGGAGAACAGATTGAACCATAATTTCCTCAGCGTCTCCTTATACTCGTAATAATCCTTCTTAATTTTCTGTTTGTCGGCCAAGAATCTCATTGCAGCGGACATCACGTTCGTGCTGAGGAACGTGTCTACCAGGAGGCTCTCTTCTTGCCTCTGCAGAGGGCTTATGTGCTCATTTACATTTGTTTCCGGCTTGTAATTATCGTAGATAGATATCACTCGTTGTATAGTGCTACCTTGGTACGCTTCTGTGTTCACCGTGAACAATCTGCGAATCAGAACTACATTTTCACAGAGAAACTGTAGATAGGATCAAAATTTGACGTAGTAAGACTCACGGTTGCGGCGCGTCGTCTGTCGTGCTGCTGCTGGTCGTTTCCTTCTGCAAATTCAGCGTGATATACCTATTCGCGTTGTTAGTGTCCTTGATGTACAAAGCTTCGGAAAGCTTCTCCAGATCTTCGTCTGTGATAGTATTCCCTTTGCTGTAAGTCGGATTACTAGAATAGACTTTGTTATTCGCGGTTGTAGCTGCACCTGCCGCAGCCGCGCCTGCCAGAGCACCACCAGCGAGAGCACCACCGGCTATCGTACCCGGAGACGGTCGTTTCCCTGGTTGAGTCGGTGTTTGCGGTTGAACTGGTCATAGCAGAAAAGTGCTCGTGATATATTCCTTCGTTGAGTAATATCGTAACTGATAAGACAGTTAGACGGTTACCTGGTTGATTGGGATATCCAGGTTGTCTCGTGGAAGGTGTAGGCGAGTTAGGTCTGCTGCCACTGCCAGCAACGTCGGCCCAAGTTCTTCCTGGACTACCGGGAGAACCAGGGCTTCCTGGTCTAGAAGGCGCCGGTGTTGTTATGGCAATAGGCTTGAGTGTACCCACGTTTAGTGTGGACAGTTGATTACCTCCAGTTCCGGGTTGACTGGGAACGCGTTGTGGTTGGGCGGGTAGTACAGCTGGTGTGGAAGTAGCTGCAGGTGTCCGTTAGGATGAGAAATATTTTCTTTCCTCTGATTATATAGTAGAATTTATTTGTACCTGGACGAGGTTGAGGCTGAGGCTGAGGCTGAGGCTGAGGTTGTTGAGGTCGCGGTGAGGGCATACTTCCAGGAGACGTGACTGGTTTAGCTCCTGAAGCGGAAAATGAAAAGTAGTAAACTCTTATTACTTATACTTTTCCCAATAGTATAATTGATGTTTGATGAGATTTATATCTAGCACCTTCAATCTAATTTAATTATCGTCAGCCTCCTAATTCTACACTTTTCATACAAAATCCTACCTGGTGTTTGTGGCTGTGCCGCTCCTCCAGGTACGGATGTTGGTTTGGGACCTACATACAAATTTATTAGACAGCTCCTTCAATAAAAGACGAGTCTCTACTTGATTACCTGGACCAGTAATTGCTGGTCCCTGAGAAGGCGGTTTGGGAGGTTGCCTTCCGGGTTCTCCAGCTCCGGTAAGATCTGCTGCCCATTCTCTATAGCCTTGTCCATTGGTACCACCGATCCCCGGTTTTCCTGGTTTGGGTACTGGAAAATCTAGACCAACTTCCGTTCCTGGGTTTGGCCTGCTTGGTCGGGCATTCTCTTTTATTTTCCCCCCAGTTGATGTGACTCCTATCGCTAGTCCAGGATCACCTGCACCGATAACCGCTGATCCGAGATTCGTCGGATTTCCTGGTGGCTTGTTAGTCGCGGTTGTAGCACCTACTGGTGCTTTGGTGGGATCAAGATTCGATACTTCAGGAGCGACCGTAGTGGTGGTCGCGTCTTTGTCCTTCTTCCAAAATTTCCATCCTGCCTCTACGTCGACTAAAAGCAAAATAGTATTTAGTAAATAAGTACAGAAATGAGAGTGAAAAATATTTCCTACGTCGGTCACTCGCAAGATAGTCGGGGTCGACACGGTTATTCGCTATTTGAGATATTAATCATGTAATTAGAGCGAATCAATGATTCATCGACGCTGTCGACGTTTATTTGAATAACGGAAATCCGTTTTAAGAACTTTCAGCAAGATTAATCATATCAGTCCCAATTGGTATATATTTTTTTCGATCGAATCTCAGTGAATTATCTGAGACAACATTGAAATTATTTCTAGCTTCGAGAATCTTGGGTTTCTCCTCTCTACTTAAAATCTGCAAGTTTCCATGAACTCGTGATAACCTTGGCGATATGAAAAAAATAAATGAAGCGTGTCCGCAGTGTTTAAGATTCAGAGTCACGTAGGATAGTTGCGGGAGATATTTTTCGAAACAGTTTCTATCTAATCCGATTATATAATATATTTGCTAGCGTCATTCGTAGCTTTCAAAATTCACAGAATTCGCATTTATCCGATTTTATTCTAGTGACTGTACATCTCTTTCGATAAACGATTTAACGAACTGCGTCTCTAAACTTTTCTGCAATAGCACTTCCTCTCACGTAGAATCCGACTTTCCTCTATTGTATTTATTATTCATTGGAGAATCCGTTCCTTTCACTTTTTTAACACTCTAGTGCTCGCTACGATCTACGTAAAATTCGTACGCGTGTATAAATAAATAATTTTGACGAGCAGAAAATTATATTTCACTCACCAACGAGTATTAAGGACAATACGAGTATCAGGAAGACGTTAGTCACGTTTTCGATCTTCATGTTTCTCCGTCGATTCGCACGATCGGTTTCAGTATTGAGCGCAGTAGAATCGAGAGCGTCGAGGAGTTTACGTAGGCGTTTTAAGTTGAACTGAAGTCTCGCCGGTGTATTCAGCCGCCTCCAACCGATATATTACTCTTTCCTCTTGCGTTCGTCGTCTCTCGGCACGTTTACTCGACCCTGGTCTAAGGTCGTTGCACGACCGTTACGCGTTTCACGCGTGCAGGAATCGATGTTCTCGGAAGAATGATTTCAGTGTTGCGATCTCTGAGCTCGATTTTTCGTTCCGACCGCTGGTAAGATTTCAGAACGAAAACGTTTTTACAATCGTGTTTGTTTTCCGATTAAATGTATCTTATTGGCACTGTTAGTGATGTTAGAGGCTCTGTTGAGTCATTCGATGACGAATAAGGTTGTTTGAATTTGTTGACACAGTGACCACTGGTTGGCTCACTTATATTTCGATAGATGGACGGGTCCGTTAATTTGAATCGAAAGGTAAATTATTGGAATTAAGAATGAATTTATTCGCTGTCGATACGTCCGGACGAATTCTATTCAAGTAGTTTAGCTTTGTAAGATAGTAGAGATTTTCCCCTTGACAGTAGATAGGAGAATAATTAAAATTGATCGTTCGTTAAAAGAAAAAATGTTTTATTCTTGGAAGGTGTATGTACATATTTACACTCGGTGTATTTTCGATAACCGCGTTTCGATCAGAAACGAGATCGTTCGTAATATAACATTTATGCAGTACCATTTGCGAACGAACATCTCTCGCATCAACGTTCAATATAATAGGAACGAGAAATTCGTTTCGTAATCAACACTGGAACGCTTGGTACGTGTGTATGTATATACAGGAAATAGTATTTTGTCATCTTTGCATCGAGACACGATGTAAATAGTTCAGGTTGCGAATAGAGGGAAGTAAATGACTGCCCATAGGAAGAGAAGAGCCAGTAGAACGATCATCAGCTTGCAACGGAAATTGTCCCATCCGATCAAAATATATTTTTGCCTCATCTCAACTTCCTCCTCCTGAGAGGACTGAAATGAAAAATGAAATCAATTTCAAACAGCAACGAGCGTTTGCAGAACAAACATGAAACCTATATTCATATCAATAATCTATCCAAATCGCATTTTCTTTGCATAGAAAATCTGCAATTCTTTTACTCACGCTATCGTCGGTGTCATCGTTAATCTGCAACCTCTGAGTACTCAGATTCTGTCGCATTTGCGTGGCTTTGCTTCTTTTCACTCGGTTCGGATCGGAGTCAGATTTCTTGTTAGACTGCAACGACTTCGAGGTTCCAGGCTGATCGAGAGGTGTCAGTTTAATGGCAACACGATTCTCCGGGTTTTGCAGCCTATCGGAAGCTTTTATCTTCGTTTCTTTGTTCGCTGATACACTCGCTGTTGTATTTTGTCTTGTCACGTCTTCTGAAGATAATGATTTCGCTGTTAAATAACGTTTCGAAAATGTTCAACACGGAAGACGAATGAATAGCTACCTTTTCCCGGGTCATTCTGCTGTGAAATCCCTTGGCGAGGATCTCGAACCTGAGACCGAAAGTTCTCCAAGTGTCGCGCAGCCGTTCTCTCCTTTTCCCGCTTCAGATTGCTGGCTGGACGGTTCCTTTTCGGGGCATCTATCACGGGACTCGAGTCGAAAGTCGTGTGGTACCGTCGAGCGACGACGCCAACTTCCAGTAGCCGTTGATCTTTGTTCCAGACTCTCGGGTGGCAATCGTTGATCTATCTCTTGTGCTGGCAATAAACGGAGATTAGATAATAATACCCGGCGGCTATCTTACAATTAAGCGTCCTTGAATTTTCCAAAGATAAACGTATGCACAGAAATAACTTTAATTTACATGATCGGTGTTAGGATTAATTAACGCTTGTAAATCAAGATGAAGCGACTGATACGAAGAGAGGTTTCTAATCGAGACCCAGCCTCTTCTTTGGTGCCTGCTATAGCGTATGCGAAAATATATGGCCAAATCGTACCTTCGTAAACATTCTACCAGAGGTCCTACGGATGTCGCGTCTCGAGAAATGTTCATAAAACGTTGTTATCGAGGCCGCTGATTCTCAGATGCGGGACGCAGCTTCGAGACTCGGACGGGTCGTTAAACAGTGCGTATCGACCTCGGTATCGTTTTTCGTGTCGCGATTCCCATCCGGCGAATTTTGATCAAGAACGTTGCAGACAGATTTCTTTCGCGTCAGAGCGTCATATATTCGCAGATAACTTCGAGTGGAATCCATCGATACATTTTGCTCGCACAAGGATTGATAACAAATGCTCAAGGATATCTGTTTTTTTTTATTGTTATTAACATCCGCGAGCTTTTTACCCATAGGAGCAAGTACAATTCTGTTTGCATTATTGGGTAACAGTTATTTGTTATTACTTACAACTATAAATAGTTATTTTATAATTTGAAGAATTGAATTCTGCTTGTATAATCCGATATCATGTAGGTTGAAAAACTCATTCATTGCATTAAGCGCTCTTACATTCATAGTTTTCATAATTTGGTCGCAGCTGATGGACTCCAGTTAGTTTTTTCTATTTTATCTATTAATTTTTTTCTAGCATTTTTTGTTTGAAGGCATTGCCACAGAATGTGATCGACATCTCTCATCGGAAATTCGCATTCACATTCAGGACCCTTTATTATCCCCGTCCTTGTAAACGATAATATCTGTTAAGAATTCAATTGATCGCTTCATCTGTGGCTTATTTCATCTACGCTCTAGATGAAACTATTGAACATCGAGTAAAATAAGTAACACTGGCTCGCGTGTACTATTTATTCGATTCGATAAAAGTCGATTTGTGTGATATTTAATTAAGTTATCAAAGTTAACTTAAGATACTACATTTGGATAGTTAGATAATTTTCATCAAGTTTCGGGTAAGAGATTGGAATCTGCAAAACGGTTTCAACGTATTCAGGGTTTATTCTTTTCTTGTACAAATATTCGGTAAAAAATTAATAATACTAAGTATTCGTATACTATTACAAATAGACGAATGCTCGTGTCAATATAAAATATAAAGTGTTAATAAAGCGGACATGTCGACATCGAACAGAGTTCACAGAGACTAGCATTCTGTACGTAATCGTAAAAATCTCTCACGTTTCTTTTCGAACGTATCAACACCGGGTATTTCTTCGTCGTCGAATCGACGAAGACGGTAATGCAAATAGAAACTCATAATTTTACGCAATTCCACGGTTTTTACATACGTTCAGAAATTACGAACAGTCGAATATTCACAATTATTGCTTTGCGTAAGGACGGATTCGTATCGAGAAAATATCGTTGAGAGATATTATTACCATCATTTATAAAAGTCCGATCTTATCACGTTCAGTGTCCAAGTCAAACTAGTCGTAAATTTTAAACAGTCTTCCTCTTCCTTTCTATTCTCATCATCGCTTCTGCGAGTTCTAGGCACAAAAGTGAGTCATCCAAATTTTCCATCGGTTCGTCTCCGAACGGAAGGTCGTACGGTCCCTCGAGTTTTCTCACAAGATTTGATACTGGGCGAGGAACGTGTACACTATCACCCAGAGGATCAGGGCGGCGATAACGGAGATCAGAAACACAGTCTTTAGAAAGTGCCAGGGACTTTCCATCCGCGATTCCGTGCGACTCGCCCAAACCTTACAGCCGCCATTTCTGCACGGTATATTTCCTGGTTGAACAGGCGTCGAGGTCGCGACACTGCTCATCGGTGGCTGCACCTTCACCTCGCCCAATTCCGTTTCGTCGCCACTTCTCACCTCGGCTTTAGTTAACTCGAACCTCGAAGGACTCTCCATCTGAAATCGAATATTTTCAGTCGGCTTGCAGAATTCGGTATACGCCAGTTTATCGTTGCACTATGTTTACGTTCGAACAGATAACAGCTGTGTATCACCACTAATTGTCACAGCAAAATATGTACATAAGAAACACTATTTATTTTCAGTATCTTATAAACTCGACCTCCAACTTCTTCAGAGAAAGAACTTGTCGAAGTTCTTTCTGTCGAACAACTTCTAGTCATAATTGCAACATTTGCCTCAGTGTCCTTTCACTAAATTCGACGAGGGCGCAAATTTACCCTGGACATCCCCAAAACACATTTATCGTGATCGCAAAGCGTTTTAAAGTATCGGAAATAAAATGCAAGCTTCGGTTTCGTTCTGGTCAACGTGGAGATTTGTATGATGCGGTTACGAATCCGGAATCTGATCAAACCAGAACCGCAGCCACGGTTTCCTGTTTATCGAGGCGGGACACCGAAACAGGTCTAATCCGATTCGAAATGCGGTGAAAATATTTTTGTCTTCACGTAACGGTTCCGGCTCGTTGTCAGTTAACAGGTTCCGCGTTTCGGGAAAAAATTGAGAACGGCGAACGAAAATCGAGTAGCGTTTGTGACCGTTCGACTCGGGCGAGCGTCGCGGGAAGAATTCATAATAACTCGAATGAAATGCAGCCTGCGTCCACGATGCAGCCACTCCAAATTATCGATTATTTCGCAATCGTGCCTCGATTGTGATGCGGAGGAACGCGTGCACCGCGTTTGCAATAAGTATCGGCATTCCTCGCTTCTTCAAGGTTCCCGTTCCATTATGAAGAAAAAAGGGGCAGAACAGAAGTCAAGAAAATGTTCGCTGACATCATTTTCAGCAGGCCTTGACACGATTCTTAAAAGCGCTCGAAATTTATGGAAACTTTATAGCCGCCGTTTACACAAGAGAAAGATAAGAAGGGAATTAATTAGCGAATCCATTCGAACTTCGAAGATTATAATAAGAGATAGAATTTCATTAATAGAGTAACGAGCGGTCAAGTTGATTTTGTTTCCTTTTGTATTTTGAAATTCGAATCCTGGTGGCAGTGAATAGTTTAGGGAACTTTACATGAGTCTCTGGATTTCGAATCTTGCTAGGATATAGTTCCTGTTCAGGTTTCGGTGGTCCCGTCCCGTACACCAAGCTCATCATGCTGGTGACCTGGTCCAAGTACGGATAATCCCATATGGATCCAGGGGATGGCACAATCACCATCTGTTAACGATTTCAATTCTTTTACATCAACACAAAGTCCGTAAGCCTCCGAGACGAGGCAAACGAACACCGCATTATTCATTAACGCTTTTCTAATTCTACAACAATTAGATCCACTGTTAGGTGAATGAGTTAAATATGAATGAAACGGGAAACGAACGTAATGTACACGAGACAAGCACGGAAGCTCCTGTTAGAATTGATTGAGTCAATGATTCGCGAACCCCATTTGATTCTATCAGCTCCAGTTTCCATTTTATCATTTTACGACTCTCAGCAAACACACACACACACACACACACACACAAAGATTTAATTCACAAAAACCATTTGTCCGTGGGAGCAAAGTTCGAGATTATCTTAAAATAAACATTTTGGAAAATGACCGAAAAATGGGACACTTACGTTTTTAAACACATATTCGTATCTCCTGATCTATCGATTTCTATCGTTGTTCATTTTACCAAGTCGTATAGCATTTTTATTCTTATGGGAGACGATCCAATCTAATTTCACTATCAAATCGTTTAAGTTATTAAGGAGGAACACGCGATATTTGACGTTCGACGCGAGAACGAGCGTAGCTTACTCGCGTGTGATACGGTAGAAACTGACCCAGCTACGTCGAGCGCTGCCCATTATCAGGCTTTATCAATCCCGACCCTTGATCTTTCGTTATCGAATCGCTCCTCTCGCGTGAAACGCTTCTAATCGGCCCGTAAATCGTTCATGGGAAACTTAGACTACTCTTTTTCACTTCATCGCGATAATGTGATTAAAAATAATAATAATAATGTGATAATGACTTCATGAGCGGATCTCTCTGACGACAATTAAAAAAAGTCTTTATCTCAAGTAATTTGATGGAACGTTGAGAATCTCAGTAAAAATGACGGATAAGCAAGATAAAATAATTCCGTTATGTAAATACGAGAATGATTACGTGGGTAAACGCGCAACAGATAGAGGATGCGCCAGCTATGCGACGGACAATAATGATAACCGAGATACCTTGCGTAATCTAGCGAGGCTCATGTTTTCAACGTGTAATAACGAGCTGTTGCGGAAGGGAAAAACACGAATAATTTTCCTCAGGTAATTGATAATGCTGATAGATAACGATCGGTCACATTGAAATTTAGCCTCGTTGTAATTAACATCGCAAACGTAAGTTTTGAAGTTCAACGAAATCGAATCGACGATGACTTCAATTACTTGGGATATCGTATGAATTTTGTTTTTCATTAATCATCGATTTCTCTATCGGTTACTTGGGGTTCGATGAACTCTGCCATAAGGAGATTTTGAGAACGTAAGGTGAAAGTATGAAAAGAGCCGACGATTGAAAGTAGCTGCCTTTTCTCAAAGGAACTCAAGGCTACAGCTCGAGTGAATGTAAATACATAGACGTAATTGGGTAAACAATAAGGCTGCAGTATGCGATGCTAAAGATATAAGAATAATTAAAAAGATTCTTGGAATTGTTTCTTAGCTAAGATATTTTCCTTACAATAAAACGACCGTTTACAACCACGTTCAGAATTTCGTAATGCGAATTTAATGTTCTTCAACGAACTTTGAATACTACATAATACATTACCATAATGTTTATTTGAACCTCCAGGATTGATAATCTACATGAATTTAATTAGAAATCGTGTTAAGACGCTTTTTTTTAAAAAAGAAAGAAGCTAAGAATAGATCAGACCAAGGGTAACTAGTTTTCATGGTACATGTGTTCTCACCTGTTGAGGCTGCCAGGTGTGCTGGAAGAATTTCTTAAAACACCTCATAATGGCTCTGACATTCTCTTAATTTATCAATCACCGCATTATCAAGATCGTCCGATCGTCTGGATACTATCGGTCAGTTCATTTTAATTCACATTCCGGTTTTATCGTTTGACCTCGTGCATGATAGCACGTTAGCTATTCCTTTTACTATCAATGTGTCCATTCACTTTTGAGTTCACTTCACTTCGCGTGTACTTCTTATTATAGTATACTAAAAATAAATTAATTAAAAATTTGCATAGAAATACTGAAGAACGTTTTGAAAGGAAACGACTCGACCAAGATCGTTGTAAGCAACGCGGAATGTCAAGACGCTCGTAAAATGCAGTCGCACTTATGCGAATGGATCGTGAAGCGAAAGGTTTGAAACGTACGCGGTGGTGCGCGCTCGACAACTAATGAATTTCGTACTCGTGCTGCTAGCGGTAGAAGTTGCACGGAACGCGTTACGTTGATTCTTAGGTCCGGTCGCGACGTGCTCGTCGCTTTCGACGCGCTCAGGAACGTCGGTATTGTTTAACTGTACGTAGATGACTGGCGGAGGTATATTTGATTCGAAAATTATTCAAGCTGCTTTCCGAAACGATTACACAAGCGTGATAAAGCAGTTCCGAGGAGAAAATCATGGGAATTGAAGAAATTTTTATTAAATGGGCGTAGTCTTAGGGTGGTAGGAAAATTTGTGTATCGGATATTTCAGTTTTATTTCAACTCAGGCACGTTCATAATTTCCTAGTTACGTAAATTAAACATTACAAAATAAATAATTGGCATTTGGAAAATAGAGCATGGCCGGATTTATTTTCTAATTTCGAAACCGTGAAACGAGGGTTGAGATATTTCTTTCTCATTTCGAAACTCTGCTTTGTCTATAGCTGACTGCGGACTCCCGGTATATCGAAGCCATTTCTTCCTACAATAAAAGAAGTAGGTGATTAATAAACCAGGCCATTATTTCTAATGTCTTTAACTCACATTTCTTCGACTTTGTCTTTTTCTCCTTCGAGATGTCCGACGACCGTACCGTCATCAGTGTTCATGCACCATCCCTTCAACCCTAATTCCTTGCCACGCTTCTGAGTGTACTGTATCAACGGAAACGATTCTTAAATATTCTATGTCTTTTTAATCGGGCAATTGTTACGTTCTATTCTTGATTTCAAATACCAGTACGCGCAAATATTAGTAATTCGATAGTAACTCGTTCACCTGCCAGATGTCGCTCGGATGCCAAGCGAGTCGCGACAGACTCGTTCCTTCGTAATTTACATTAGTTGTTGATAGTTAATTAATTAGAAACGTTACTTACCTTTCTAAAGAAGACGCCTTTAAAGAAGAGAATCCGAAAATTAGCATCGTCCTGATACTGTCACGGGATAATAATCACTCACCTTGTACTCTTCCGTACACCTCGAAGTCGACACCGATCAACATCGTTGAACTTTATGACGTTACGTCAAAGAGAATCGATAAGACTGAGAATTAATTTAAATGATCAGCTGGTTACGATTGAATCATTATTCAGAGAAATAACCGTATGTGCGCATAACTCGTGAGACGATAATTGACTAGATGTCGCCCGCCGTGGTTCCATCAGCTGTTCCGGTAGTTAATACCCGGTATCCTTGGAAACTATTCTGGTTGGAGGAATTAAACTTAACCCTTTGCACTCGTATTTATGTTTGAGAAGGCTATCAACTCTAATTTATTTTATTTTATATATACACACACGTTTAAATAGAAACTAAAAGAAAACATTGTGACAAGGGTCCCTAGAATGAAATACTAATATTAATATATGTATAATAATAAAACTGGTAAAACGTATAATGTCGCCTGTACAGCGACATACACGAGTGGAAAGGGTTAATTTAAATTTCAACTGGGACTGACGGTAGGCCGAGTTCAACTTCTTCTGATCTTTTTGTGCTTGGATACTTGCTTCCGTATAAGTTATAAATAAAAATGTCTTGCATATTCAGGTGTATTACATATATTTTGTATAATTATCTACAATTACATAATTCAACGATGGGAGATAAAACCGAATCGCGCATTAATTACATACATAACAGCGATGAATATTTTGAAAGAGTGTAATCATTTGATTAGAATTCAAAAATCAAATCCTGTTCGCGGACAGCGTTCGCATTGGCCGATGTTCGTAAATGCGCGCGCGCACACGAGCAGAACGTGTGGCCGTACAGCTGCAAAAAAGTCGCGAAGTACAGAGACGGACGTATATTATAGAGGAGTGTAGGTATAAGTCGTCCCCACCGCGTTTGCTGCGGCCAGTCTCAGGTAACAGTTAATGGAAGGTGGATGTGTTTACGCGGTCTTTAAGCTGATCGCAACGCGATTTAATCTTTACGCGAACAAAGCCGGTGATCGATCGAGATCGCGTTTATCAGTATGTGTCGCGTATCTTGTTCTACGTGCAATCGTTGGCGTGTCTTCGGTCTTTAAAAGCCATCACCGCGGCACAGACGGCACGGCATCGTCCGCTATATTTCTATACGATTCTGCGCTATGGTAGACTATCGCGTAGATTTCTCGAATGCGCGTCGTTCCGATAAAAACATCCGCCGCAACGTCTGATCAGCAGATTCGTACCGTTGCTACCATCCGTGGGAATCGAACATTCTACGAGAAATTCGGTCTACGGGTTCGGTGAGGGAATCGCACGAGATACCGAATCCCGTGTCAGCCTGAATGAGGTTAGGGTGGCGTATTTACGCAACGAATATTCGTGTCGTCGGTGTACGCGATGCGGAACTGACAGCTCATCCTGCCATCGTTCCCGATAATATCCCATCCCCGATCGCTACCCATCGGTCGACCGAACGCTCTGTGCAGTGCTTGAGGGCAACGCCGGATTCATCGCTGTCGTCGTCTTCGGCGACTTTGACAGCCCGTTTTTACGACGATCAGTGAGGTTACGCATCTATTTGGGAGGTGTTTTTTTTCTTTTTGATTGTGCATGTGCGTGGTGTGGCACTGTGCACGGTGAAACACAACACGGCGACGGCAACTACGATGACGGCGATGTTAGTATCCGTGGCGGAGCTGTCGAACATTTTCTTCGTGCTCGCGGTGTCGATATGCTTCTGCGGAGTCTTTTTATTTATAATCAGGTATTTATCATTTTTCTCATTCTTAAGCCTGTGCGCGTGTGTGCCAACTCATTGGGTTTTAATCCAACGTAAAGATAGACAGATACGCATCGCCCTTAGTGGTATGCGACGAGCGAAGGTTGTTATGTGTATGTTGGGACGACAGATACATGTCGTGTTCTCGTATGTACTACGCAATTTCTCGTTTCTGTGACATGTACGTTCGTTTCGTTCAAAGATCCTTGTGTCTAGGTTAATCCGAGCATCTGAAACATGTCGAAACCCTCAGTTAAATAGAACTGTCTCTTAGCCTTGGCCTATGTACATCTGAAAACATTTTTTCTAAATGATTGCGAAGATTTTCCACTCATGACAGAGAGAGTGGAGTATCGATAGTTAGCACTTTGCTCCTCCTTTAGCACACATATGACGATAAATGTCAGACGAAATTAAACTGTTGAAATATGTAGGACCTGTTGTCAGTTCTCATTTACAGTTACTATTTTAACTCGTAGTCGTAATTGTCGAATGATGAAGTATGCAATTTAATCAGTGGATAGAATTTTAGCTTGGCAGTTTTGATAAAACTGATTACCATTACAAATAATATTTTGAATGTATTATCCTAAATTTGCGTTCGAAGTTGTAAGGTAGCTGTATCTGAGTCACCGTTTACAAACATGGTGAAACCGGAATTTTTCCGTACGGATTCTCTTTTTATTATTTTACGAGCTCCTGCAAAAAAGTCATATAATCATTCGTTTCACTTAAATTCGATGATTCAAGCCGATATACTTTATTATTCATAGATCTGTTCGAAAGATGACGTATACGTAGAGATACATTGAAATAGGTCATCGTACTCGGCCACGTTTTATTGCACATGGTTCAGCAGGAATGGAAACGCGTTGATCGTTATCCGGTACAACGGAATTGGTAATTTTGTGCAAATTAAAAGACAAACGGAGCCCGGACGAAACTGTGCATCAGCAGCTCGGTAATCGGCGTCCCCTTTTACTGCATCGCGTCACGAGTCAATAGCAATATTTATGTAGAAATTAGTGACGCATAGAGAACTAACTAGTACACTGTCGATTGCACAATAGCCGCTGCTTTTGCGACACGCGCGATATCCACGAGTTGATCAAAAATTTCGTTATCTTTTAATGAAAGTTATTTCGAGCCACTTGAATCAGATCTTTGTTCGATCAATCTCGAAGGTTTCAAGGCTAGCTTCGTTTCTTTTAGTATTCCAAGGTTAGATCAATCGGTCGGACGGTGTTCCCCGAAGTGGCCGTAAAAATTATTGGTAAATTGGCACTTTCGGTTCAGTGGTAAAAGTGTGCCAAGAGACGGCAGATACTTTGTCCGAATTAATCGGAATTTCAGTATAGAAAATAATGGAAATTAAGATAATGAACGACCAGTGAAGAATTGGTTTGAATAGTCGGTGACTTAGCTTAATTTAACTTTAACGAATTGGCTGACCTTGAATCGAAGTACGGGTAAAAACGGGTAACGACCGGGTAAAAAATCAGTTCTATTATAGAATTTCTCTTACGACTGATCGACTTTTTTGCGTTCTCGGTGGTCGAAACACGAAAACCAAACCTTGTTTTTCTGTCGAAGACTCGATTTAAATCCACCGGACTTGTTTTTGTACAAAAATAAACCGTCAGAAAACGTCAAACCGGATATTGTGAATAAAAATCTATTCTTAACAAAGGTGAATCGAAAAATAGAATGCTTGACTGCATCAGCCGAATCAACCTGTTTCCGCCTTTAGTAAAGAAAACTTGGCTCCGAGGTATCTGATCAAACATTTCGAATCGATGTTGAAAGAATAATAAACCGTGACAATAGTAGAAACGCTGCGCGTTTTCAATACAGGAATCGAGCGTTCGAGTCGGTCGGAGAAGTTACTCGATATTCGTGGCAACAGATCGTTCACAAGGCCGTCAAGGTGTATAGATAGCCGAGTCCTACTTGGACGATCGAGGACCATGAGATCCGTTTGTTACGGGCAAAGACGTTTTCGAACATAATCTACCGCAAGCTGGTTTCCGGTTAACCATTCGTGTAACGCGTCCAAACGAATCAGTAAATCGTTCGAGCGACGCTAATTTGAGGTCGCGATTTGCCTCCACCTTTCCCGTGACCGAAGGGAAAGATCTTAAAACGCGTGACGCAATAAAGTATTTTAATTCGAGTACTCGAACCGGTACGTTATTAGATTGCGACATCGATGATTTGCCAGTTGTTCGGCTTTTTTCCTGCTTTCGTGGAAATTATGCAACTACACTGGAGACGCTTGATCAAACCGTTACACTATCTTACCGTACCTGCCAACGTTCGTTACTAAAGATTCATCTGTTGGATTAAGGGATCTTACCAGTGTGAAATTTTAAATAAATCGAATATCTTTTTGCATTTTTCGAAAGATTATACCTTCAAAAATATCATACTAAAATTTCAAGGTCGGATCTCAATTAGTTTTCGAGTGGCAGCCTTCTAATAGTATTAATATAACATAAGTTAAAGTAATATTACAGTAATAATGTAATAGTTAATACTTCAAACGCGTTTTTTTCAAATTTGCTGACACTATAACTCAAAGACTAATTACCCAATTTACTTGAAATTTTAACAGAGTGTTCTAGGTATGCTTTATTGTTGAATGACGTAGGATATTCTTGATTGGATGAAAACTGTAATTTTAGCAACGAAGAAACGACAATTTTTTTAAGAGAAAATCGAAAAATTTCTTAGAAACTCCGACATTTTGTTAGATTTCAATATTTCTCGGATATTCTAGATGATACCACGGAGAATACTTTCTAGTTTAAGAGCGTCTTTGTCTTTTTTCATTTTAGTCACCCTGGCGAACTGTATAATGTCAGCAGTCGAGGCACTTTTTTTTCGCATCTCGGGAGATAGCGCATAACTTGATCGCCTTTAGTTATTTTTGTACGAAAAAAATATTTTACACAGTTCATTTATAGGCAAATATATCCATAAAGTTCAAAGGTAAAGCCCCTTAAAAGAGTTTAGGAATCTTCATTCTTCTGAACATTTTAATGTCGTCCTTCAATCCCTCTTCGAAATTGACAAAAACTTGAGTATTACGCAGGACATGTTATCCATTCTATCTGTGGATAGAAGCTGATAGTAGCTTATCAGTAGAGCAAAGATATAGAGAGTTGATAATAATTTTCTCCTATCTAATATAGTTAAGCTTGCTGGATAATTTTAGTTTAAAATTGAGATTCATAATAGATATTTTATTTAACATCTGTCCGCTGGTCAAGCATTGACGAGCGAGTTGAGAATTCCCTCACTACTCGGACCCTATTTACCAACTCCGGGAGGCTGTCCTCTGTCGATTCGTCCTCTCTTTTTTCGCGTTGCGTTAAAATGAGATATAAGAGCAAGCCTACATCCAAAAGCCTTATGCCAATAAACTGTTAACACACTTAACGGGAGACGAACGATTCGCCTATTTGAAAAGAGAAAGCTGGTGTCTGAAATTTCAAAGCTGCACGTTTTGCTTTTTCCTTCACTGATTTCGAGCCGCGAGGCTACCCATATTTCATCAAATTATACGGGATGAGTTGCTAAGAGGCATATAAACATATTTCGTTTCATTAAAATATGTTTCATATGGAGTTCGATGAATCAATGAATTCCTGTATTCGACCGAATCAGGATTCGTTTTTATGAGGCGTTTTAATGGAGTCAGAATCGCTCGTTTACTGAGTTCTCCCGAGCTCTCTCGGTATCCGTTTTTTAGTCAAATTAAGAACGAATAATTTGCACGAACACGATATCGTGATACGTGCATGCGTGTTCTCATGGCCGCGAGGTTGTTGGCAGTGCGCGATCGTTCGCACACTAATTCGTTCCAAAGCATGATGCATGACGTGGTTGTTTATCTTAAATATCGAAGGACGGTATACTTTTCGTTATACGTATCCTGTTCCCCAGAATCTGAATTCATAACTTAAAAATCGTGGTTGGATCTCAAAAGAGATCGTCTGCGAAATTGCAACAGGGCACAGTGGTGGTATTATTCCATTGCGAGAGGCATTTGTGTAATCTAAGTAAATATATGTAGGTGTATAAAAGTATTTTCGAAATCGCTGTTTTCGTAAAAGATAAGTCAGTTTTTTCTACGAAAAATCGTGTAAGCAAACAGGCTGTGCTAGGAAGATGAATTGCGAGCTATAATAATAGCTTAGAACTGTTCACTTCAAATATGCATACTGGATGAATTCATCCATAGTGAATGGTATAAAGCAGTGATTCTCAACCTTGTTTTTAGTCACAGTACACTATTAAAAATATAAAAATTTGCTGGCTCATTAATAACGTAATAAATTAAAAGAGTTTCATTTGGTTTATTATTTGACGTATCTATAACATATTTTGTAAAATTAGGATAATTTTCAACGAAGAATAAAATGAAAGTTGCATTACAAAATAAACAAAATGTTTAAAAATAATAATAATAATAATAATATAAAAATAAATAATTTTCATTTCGGGAGGGGTCACTCTCTGGCAGTGGTGGCACATTAGAGTGCAGTGATTGAGAATCACTGATATAAAGAATGTTTCATCTGCATTTCATTTAAAGCGATTAGTAAATGAAGGATAGCTAGATTGGATCAATTATTATCAGAGAATATTAATAATAAGAATAGAAAAGAAAAGACCAATATCAACATTTTCAATGTCTTTTTTTCAATGACTCTATCGATTTAAGATACTGTACCTGTACTGATATTGTTTCCTTGTTCTAACGAAGGGACTGGCTATTATCATTGTATCTGTAATCTATCTATGTACGTGGCCTCAATAAGCAGATCCATTAATTAGTTTGTAGTTGAATTTTTGATATCTGGACAAATGTTAATCATTGGAACAATCGATTGAATCCTTTGTGCAGGAACATGATCGTGCTTCGTATTCACGGCGACGAATTGATGTTCGGTGGGAGTGGAAGCGTAATGACACATTCGCCGCGCATACCTCAGATGGAGATGATGAAGGTCCACATTCCCTTCACCTTCAAGCTCCACGAAAGTTTCAAGAGCACTTATATCGGTGAGTCTTTGCTCAATGCACTCTTTTGTCTCATTACTCATTTATCCTTACCAACTTCATCGAGCAAATTATGATTATTCCAATTAACACGCAACTACGAGACATCTCGTAGGTTGTTTACTTATCCAGGACGCCTACCTACGAATTATCTCGTCCCTTCATTACTTGCCATATTTGTGTCTGTGCACGAATTATCTTATAGTTGGCTTCCGCAAAGAAGTCTCTGTTATATAAGCCAACTATGAGATAATTTGTTATTTTATGTTAAAAGTCTTAGATATAAAATAAATTTAGATAAATATATTCGTTATTCTATGTTAAAAGTCTGCATGATTCATTGCGAAAAATTTGTGATAGGAA